CGCCTGCCACGCCCACTCGGGCGAGGCGCCCAAGAACCCGCGCTGCACCAGCCCTGGTACCTCCGGGGGCGGGCAGGGGAGGCGCCGGCGGCCGAGGGCTCTGCCCCCTCGCGCTGCCTCCCGCCGGCCCTGACCTCTCCTGCTGTTGCAGAGAACAAGTGCAACGACTCCTTCTTCCTGTGCAAGAATGGTAAGTGCATCCCGGAGGCCCTGCTTTGTGACAACAATGATGACTGCACAGATGGTTCCGATGAGCTCAACTGCTTCATCAACGAGTGTCTCAACAAGAAACTCAGCGGCTGTTCCCAGGAGTGCGAGGACCTGAAGATCGGGTACAAGGTAGGGGCCCGGTCTGGCCTGTTGGGCTGGGGGGGGGCAGCTGGAGGGACGTCCTCCCACGAGGGGTGCTTTGTCCTGCAGCAGGTGTCAGGCGATGTGCGTACAGGCAATTCTAGCCCGTGCCTGTGTGCTGCTCTCACACCTGCAAGCTCTCTGTGCCCAAGCCCGCTTGTCCCTCGGTGATGAATGTCATGCCGCAACATGTGGTCCCTGGATGTATCTAACAGCTCCTGGTTGCCTCCTGCAGTGTAGATGCCGTCCTGGGTTCCGGCTCAAGGACGATGGGAAGACATGCATTGATGTCGATGAGTGCTCCACCACCTACCCCTGCAGCCAGAAATGCATCAACACCCTGGGGAGCTACAAGTGCCTCTGCATAGAGGGCTACAAGCTCAAACCTGACAACCCCACCAGCTGCAAAGCTGTTACAGGTGAGAGCCTGGAGAGGCGAGAGAGGTGGGGACGCTGTTCTAGGGACCACGGGGTGCTGCCAGCGTTGGAGCGAGCTACGGTGCTGCAGGTGACTTGGCTGCAGCTGCCTCAGGAAGGAGGAGCAGGCAGCAGCCAGGCACGGAGGGATCCAGGTCCGGGCGCTGCTGGGGGCAGGGGCTCTGCCCACGGCGCTTCCCTGACACGTCTCTTGGTGTCCCCATGCAGATGAAGAGCCTTTCCTCATCTTTGCCAACCGGTATTACCTGAGGAAGCTCAACCTGGACGGCTCCAACTACACCCTGCTAAAACAGGTGCGGGGTGAGCTGGGGCAGCGAGGGCAGCAGCCCCGGGGCCGGGCCTTCGCTGCCGGGATAGGGGCCTGGCAGGGGAGGAAACCTGCGGCATCGGAGACCAAAAGAGGGGGTGCGAGTTGGCTCTTGGCTTCCGACACAGTTGATAGGTCCTGTATAAATAGGAGCTCTCACTATAAATATATGCCGGGTCCTGTGTAAACAGTAGCTTTTCAGTAGCTGACCTTTATAAGGTAGTGTCTACCCAGCAGTTGTCTGTAAACACTTTTAACTTCTCTGCTGCAGAGCCTGGGAGTTATGGCTGGGGCCCTCACGGGGCTTTCTAAAGCTCAGGATGTTTTAGCGCTTCTCCTTCCTCCCAGGGACTGAACAATGCGGTGGCTCTGGATTTTGACTACCGGGAGCAGATGATCTACTGGACAGACGTGACCACACAGGGCAGCATGATCCGCCGCATGCACATCAACGGGAGCAATGTTCAGGTGGGTGGCTGAGGTGGCCCTGCCAGCAACCCCTGAGCTGCTGCTCCTTACCCAGCTCCTGCGTGGGGAGGCTGCCTGGGGGAGCCCAGGCCAGGAGCAGGACTGCCAGAGAGGAAGGCACAGCCCTGCGTTGGGGTCACCATGGGGCTCAGAGCATTTGCCCCAGTTCATACAGGGCCTCCGGGGAGGTTTTGCAGTACCATCCCAGTTGGAAATAGTCCCTGTGCTGCCCCAAAGCAGTGGAAAGGACTGTGTGGGCAAGAGAGACCATAGCCCAGGGGGACGAAGGGAGGGATGGGGAAAGGGAGTGGGGCAGGACCAACTATGGGGCTGTGCCTGGAGAAGGGGGATGTTGTTCCCGTTCCTGAGGGACCAAGCTAGGATCTGGTTCTCCCCATCCAGCCCCAACACATCCATTTTCTCCCAACAGGTTCTTCACCGCACGGGTCTCAGCAACCCTGACGGGCTGGCTGTGGACTGGGTGGGAGGCAACCTGTACTGGTGTGACAAAGGTCGGGACACCATCGAGGTGTCAAAGCTCAACGGTGCCTACCGCACAGTGCTGGTGAACTCGGGCCTGCGCGAGCCCCGGGCGCTGGTGGTGGACGTGCAGAACGGGTGAGAGCCTCTGGCACCTTCCCCTTTATGCCAGGACAGTGCTGGTGGCCCTTCTGCTGTCTTGCTGGTGGGCAGTAGTCCTGGGGACTGCGAGACAGGACAGTGGCCTCCCCACCCCTAGGACACCCCGCTTCCTTTTCCTGCCCCTTTCCCCTGCCAGGTGGCTGCACACTTGGCTCATTCCCTCCTCCCCAGGCGTCCCAGTTTAGCCACGTGGCCGCCAAACACAGCCACTGCTGTGGTTTGGGCTGGGCTCAGCCTCCTTTTGCGGTTCTGTTCTCCTCCCCAGTTACCTGTACTGGACCGACTGGGGTGACCACTCCCTGATTGGGAAGATTGGCATGGATGGCACCAACCGCAGCGTCATTGTGGACACCAAAATAACATGGCCCAATGGCCTCACCCTTGACTACATCAACAGCCGAATCTATTGGGCCGATGCACGGGAAGACTACATTGAGTTTGCCAGCCTGGATGGCTCCAACAGGCACACGGGTGAGAGGCCAGGGCTCCCGGGTCCCTTCCACGCCACTGTGGGAGTGTCATCTTTGGCGTGATCGTGGGACTGGGAGCCAGGACTCCTGAGGTCTGTCCCTGGCTCTGTCAGCAGCTCCCTCTGCAGCTGTGACAAAGGGAGGACGTTTGCTTCTGGCTGAGGTGGACCTGGAGGGAAGCTGCCCTATATGTGGTTGAGGGTGAGGTGGGAGGGATGAGCTGGGGCAGCCTCTCACTGGGCCGCCCGCTCCCTCTTGCAGTCCTGAGCCAGGACATCCCGCACATCTTCGCGCTCACCCTCTTTGAGGATTTCATCTACTGGACTGACTGGGAGACCAAGTCCATCAACCGAGCTCACAAGACAACGGGTGCCAACAAGACACTGCTGATCAGCACGCTGCACCGTCCGATGGACATCCACATCTACCACCCCTACCGCCAGCCTGACGGTGAGCCGCTGGCCTGGGGCTGGACACGAGAGTCTCTGGTGGCCCTGGCCCTGGGGAGGAGCCCTTGGCAGTAATGCAGGAGAGTAGGGGCTAGGCACAGCGTCTGGGGCCGGGTTGGGCAGGGGGCAGAAGGGATGTCTGTGGTGGGAAGGAAGTTGCAGTCAAAGGTTCATGCACCGTTCGGAGGGTATTTTCTCCTTGGACTGACTGGCAATTCTCTCCCTGCCGCCTCCCCAGTTCCCAACCATCCCTGTAAGACCAACAATGCAGGCTGCAGCAACCTCTGCCTCCTGTCGCCAGGCGGGGGACACAAGTGTGCTTGTCCCACCAACTTCTACTTGGGCAGCGATGGGAAAACCTGTGTCTCCAACTGCACAGCCAGCCAGGTAACAACCCTGCCTGCCCTGCTGCAACGCAGCTGCAGGGCTGCCTGCATCCTCCTGCACGTGCAGACATCCTCCCTGCGAGTGCACGCCATCACGCTGACCTGCATTGGAGCGTGTGTCCCTCCTGCCAGGGTTTCACCAGGCTGCAGCAGCCGCCTGGCTGCCACGGCTTCCCCTGCGTGTGCGTGTGTGCACACAGCCTGGACATTGATGTGCACGTGCCTTCTCCTGACGTGGGCAATATCTCCCTCCTGTGGCCCTTAGCAGCATGTACAGACTGCAGCATGTCAGGGCTGCCCCGTCTCCCGCAGGGGAGCCAGATTCGCCCCAGTTCTGGAGCCCCACCATCTGCCTGCCCTCCTCCTGCCCCAAAACCCCAGAGACGGAGTAGGGTGGACTCGGGGTAAGGGCCGGGTCCAGGTCAGGCATGAGGACGCAGAAGTGTGTCTCCGTCTGGGCGTCCTGTTCCAGGCTGCCCTCACAAGCTGGTCTCTCTGTGTCACAGTTTGTCTGCAAGAACGACAAGTGCATCCCTTTCTGGTGGAAATGCGACACCGAGGACGACTGCGGGGACCGTTCGGATGAGCCCGAGGACTGCCGTGAGTGCAGGGCAGGGCACAGGGGGAATCAGCTGGCCACTGCCCCCCTTGTCCCAGCACCCAAGCCCACTTTTGGGCCCTTCAGAAACAGCCTGACAGCACAGCTGTGATGAGGGGAGGGCTCTCAGCGCTGTCTGGAGCCAGGCTGGCTCTGCTCTGGCAGCCGGTCCCCAAAAGCCCTGCTGCTGCTTTGGCTTAGGCCAGCATTACTCTTCACACATCTTCCCACCTCATAGCTGGTGAAGAAGAGGGTTGCCCTGGCCTGGTGCTGGCCACGTTACCCCACTAACGAGGCTGAGCAGCCCAGCGGGGCAACACGCTTCCCCTGGGTAGGAGATTGCCCCATGGAAGACAGCAACCTCCTGCTGCTCTCTCTTAGCAGAGCTGTCTCCCTTCCCCTCCATCAGCACAGTGCTTCGTGTGATGTTTGTCCAGTCCTTGCTGAGGACCCCGAAGAAGGGAAGGTGGGAGGTTAAGGTTTGCCATGGAAATGTTGCCCCGAGTAAACATTTCACCCTGTCTTGCTCTCCCTGTAGCTGAATTCAAATGCCGGCCAGGGCAGTTCCAGTGTTCCACTGGGATCTGCACCAACCCAGCCTTCATCTGTGATGGGGACAATGATTGCCAGGACAACTCAGATGAGGCCAACTGTGGTAGGTTCTCCATCTCCCACTGAGGCCCTCAGTTCCCGGTGGGTCTGCAGCATCTGAGGAGCAAGGCAGAGGTGCTCCATGTCTCAGCTTTTGACCATGTTGCCTCCCTTCCCAGATATCCATGTGTGTCTGCCCAGCCAGTTCAAATGCACCAACACCAACCGCTGCATCCCAGGCATCTTCCGCTGCAACGGTCAGGATAACTGCGGTGACGGCGAGGATGAGAAGGACTGCCGTAAGTGGGGAGCTGTTGGGTATATTAGCTGTGGGGAGCATGCATGATTAAGAGTGAGGAGTTCAGTGCTGCATTAGATTCGTGTCTTTGGATTTTGCCTTCCCTTGTAGGCTATCCCATTCCCTGTTTTCTGGGTGATCCCATCTCTGGGCAAGGGGACTCCCTTCTCACCCTTGCATCTTAGAGCATCTCTCTGCTTCCACCCTGCTTCCCCTGCAGACACTGACGTTTCCCATTCCCTAGTGGAAACGAAATCCCTAAATCCCTCTGTGGCAAGTTCACATATTTGCCATGGGTTTGCACTTCCCTGAGCCATCTGTTCACAGCTGAGGGATCTTGTTACTTCTTCTTCCCCATCTCCCAGAAGCTGTTCTGGCCAGTGGAGCAGAGAGTAGAGTCTTCTGGGGCTGTCACAGGGCTCCCCTCCCTTCTCCTCTCATGCAAATGGGTCACCAAGCGTGACCAGAGTCTGTGTTGTGATGTCCATCTCCAGTGGGATGGTTTTGTGGGGTAGCTGCTGGCAGAACCCCTGTCTGTCCCCACTGCCTGTCCTGACTCTGCTTCTCCCTCTTCAGCGGAGGTGACTTGTGCCCCCAACCAGTTCCAGTGTGCGATCACTAAGCGCTGCATCCCCCGGGTCTGGGTGTGCGACCGGGATAACGACTGTGTGGATGGCTCAGATGAACCTGCCAACTGCAGTAAGAAGCCTGTGCGCAGAGGGTGGTGGGATCTGGCTGCACCAACACCTGGAGCTGCTCCGCAGCTTGTCCACTGCGGGCATCTTTGCCTGTGGGGTGGTGGGTCCTGCTCAGTCCTTGTAGATCTGCAAGTGCTGCAGGCTAGTGGGTGGCACTGGTTCTGCCTGGGTCCGTCCCATGGAGATACTCCTCTCCTGGAGAACGGCATGAAAGGGTGGGGTCTTGCCCCATCCATGCAAAGCGGGGTGCTGCAGTAGCTCCGGGTTGCTAGGAAAAGCTGTCTGGGAGCCCTGGAGGGCAAGGAACACGTCTGGCCAGTGCTGACCCCATCTCCCCTCCCCATATCGGTGATATCTTGTTTCTCTCCCCGCCAGCACAAATGACCTGTGGCGTGGATGAGTTTCGGTGCAAGGACTCGGGCAGGTGTATCCCAGCGCGCTGGAAGTGCGACGGGGAGGACGACTGCGGGGATGGCTCCGACGAGCCAAAGGAGGAATGCGGTGAGCAGGGCCTGGGGCCAGGGAAACGAGCCACGAGGGCATGGTGCGGGCTGCTCCTGGGGGCTGGCTGCCCCCGGTCCCCGCCGTGCGGGCAGACGATGCTGACGCTGACACTGTCGCTGTCGTGTTCCCCTGCTGCCAGCAGAGCGCACCTGCGAGCCCTACCAGTTCCGCTGCAAGAACAACCGCTGCGTGCCGGGGCGCTGGCAGTGCGACTATGACAACGACTGCGGGGACAACTCGGATGAGGAGAGCTGCAGTACGTGCGCCTGGGAGCCCATGTTGGCCTGGGAGGAGGGTGTGCAGAGGAGAGCGGAGCAGCGCAGGCGCTGCCCCAGCCCTCTGCCTGCACGTGGGGCAGGGCGCGTCAGGCTGGTTTGGGGGCTGAGTAGCGTTCTCCAGTTGGACGGAGCTAGTGTGACTCCAAGGCGTCTGGCTTGTTTGGTCCCTCAACCAAGGCGCTTCAGTTCCCCAGCTCCTGGCAGTTTAAAGGAGAGGTCAGAAGTGGTGACGGGTAACTGGGAGGCAGCGAGTCCCAGCACCTTCCTGGGCAAGCTGGGCGCAGAGCAGTTCAGCCTACTGTGCGGTTGTAGTCACCTGCTGAGCTCGCGCGCACCACTTGCAAGGCAGCTTGTGTCGGTTTGGCCTGCAGCGCGATGGAACAGGCCGCGTCTTGGAACCAATTTTCTTTAGACCGTCACCCTGTGGTTTGGCTCCAGCTTGGCAGGCAGCATCATTTGAGAAAGTTTGGCTTAGGAAGGCTCTGAGCACACTGCCTTTGGGAGGGGAGTTGTAGCCTGTCTGGAACAAGCTGAACCCAAGTCACAAACCTGGACCTGGACCAGGTGTGTGTGAAGACAGCTGGTTCAGAAAAACAGTGGTGGGCAATCAAGTTGCTGCCCCTTAATGAGTTGCTGCTCGTTAGCGGAGTTATGCCAGCACCTGTCCTGCTGCACAGCACAGGGCTGTGACTGTGCCCGCAGACGAGAAGGCTCTCGTGGCTCTGCTGGTGCTCCAGTTACTCCGGAGGGGCATGAGCCGCGTGTGGAGCAGTGCTGGGCTCTTGATCCCAGCTCCTGGGAGCCCAGGGAGAGCTGGCCCCTTCCTCCCAGCCCTCACTGCCCACCCCACATGCCTCCATCTCCCTGAAGTCCTCTAGAGCGTGAATTTTTTTCTTTTCTGTTGCTTTCACGTTGTGTTTTTGAGTTTGTGCCATTTCACTTCATCTTATGTTTTTCTCCATTTTCACACTGTCGTTAATGGGGCGCTCAGAGGTAGGTTTCTGCCAAAATCTTTTAATTCCATGTACAGACTCTTTAAAATAAGCGAATACGATAAACTCCAGGTGAAGGCAGAGGGGTCGGGTCTGAATCAGCCCTGATGGATTCACACCAGCGCCTCCCTGCGCTGGGTCCACGTCAGGAAGAGTCCAGCTGGGCTGCCCGTGCATGGCTCATGTTGAGCTCCCGAATCTGCCCCATCTGCCCCTTTCTGCCCTGGCCGTGCCCCTGGTAGAGCCCCGCAGTCCCAGCTCTGCAACGCCAGCCAGCTGGGCTTCTGCCCGAGGCCCGTCCCGCGCCGCCGGGGCCTCGCTGGGGAAACGGGAGACGAACGAGCTCGAGGTGGGGGGT